TTAAAGTGTTAAGTTCTGTAAAATCAAATCACACTCTTAGACGGTTTAAAGTCTTCAGATTCGGCACCTGTATTATGTGTTGTCACATATCTACTATTTAGGTATCAACCGTGTTTCGTAAAAATATCATATTGTTTTGTTAAGTAGAAATAGCAGGAAGTGAGGAATTATGGGATAGAATGAATATAGGTAAGGGTCATAAATGTTTCTGCAGGGATTCCTATGTTTGGCACTGGCCATGTTCATTTTAGTTATTAATAGCATCATAATGCTCATTTTGTGAAACAGAAGAAGTTGTATGAAGGATTATATTTTACTCTGATCTACAGAGATCTTGTTTTATTGTGTGTCCTTTCATCAGTCAATTAAAGGCGTGATGCTAATGCCTCTGGTACTTATTTAGATAAACATGGTGGGCATACGTAAATGTGGATGCACAATATAATATAAGTGATTAATTACAACCCTAAAAGTAACAACATCACAACACATACAACTGTGTTTACGATACTTTACATGTGTTAAGGCTAACAAATCACTGTGCAACTGCCTGTCTTTGTACCTGATGTTTAGGCCAACAAATTACTGTGCAACTGCCTGTCCTTGTGCCTGGTGTTTATACCAACAAATCACTGTGCAACTGCCTGTCCTTGTGCCTGGTGTTTATACCAACAAATCACTGTGCAACTGCCTGTCCTTGTGCCTGGTGTTTACACCAACAAATCACTGTGCAACTGCCTGTCTTTGTACCTGATGTTTAGGCAAATAATTCACTGTGCAACTGCCTGTCCTTGTACCTGGTGTTTAGACAAACAAATTACTCTACAGCTGTATTTTCTTGCACCTGGTGTTTAGGCCAACAAATTACTGTACAGCTGCCTGTCCTTGTACCTGGTGTTTAGGCCAACAAATTACTGTACAGCTGCCTGTTCTTGTACCTGATGTTTAGGCCAACACATTACTGTACAACTGCCTGTCCTTGTACCTGATGTTTAGGTTAACAAATTACTGTACAACTGCCTGTCCTTGTACCTGATGTTTAGGTTAACAAATTACTGTACAACTGCCTGTCCTTGTACCTGATATTTAGGTCAACAAATTACTGTACAACTTTCTGTCCTTGTACCTGCTATTTAGGCCAACAAATTACTGTACAACTTTCTATCCTTGTACCTGCTATTTAGGCCAACAAATTACTGTACAACTTTCTGTCCTTGTACCTGCTATTTAGGCCAACAAATTATTGTACAACTTTCTGTCCTTGTACCTGCTATTTAGGCCAATAAATTACTGTACAACTGCCGCCTGTACTTGTACCTGATATTTAGAACAACAAATTACTATACAACTTTCTGTCCTTGTACCTGCTATTTAGGCCAATAAATTACTGTACAACTGCCTGTCCTTGTACCTGATATTTAGGCCAACAATTTACTGTACAACTGCCTGTCCTTGTGCCTGGTGTTTACACCAACAAATCACTGAGCAACTGCCTGTCCTTGTACCTGGTGTTTAGGCCAACAAATTACTGTACAACTGCCTGTCCTTGTACCTGGTGTTTAGGCCAACAAATTACTGTACAACTGCCTGTCCTTGTACCTGATATTTAGGCCAACAAGTTACTGTACAACTGCCTGTCTTTGTACCTGATATTTAGGCCAAAAAATTACTGTACATTTGCCGTCCTTGTACCTGGTGTTTAGGCCAAAAATTACTGTACAACTGCCTTTCCCTGTACCTGGTGTTTAGGCCAACAAATTATTGTGCAACTACCCGGCCGTGTGCCTTGTGCTCAGGTCAAGAAATCACTGTGCAGGTGCCCAAACTTGTACACGGTGGTTTACTCAAACAAGTCACTGTGCAGGTGCCTGGCTTTGCATCTGGTGTTTAGGACAACGAATCTCTGTAAAACTTCCTGGTCTTTACAAAAAACTATTGTCTTGTTACTATCTCAGTACAGTTGCAACTATTGTCTTGTTACTATCTCAGTACAGTTGCAACTACTGTCTTGTTACTATCTCAGTACAGTTGCAACTATTGTCTTGTTACTATCTCAGTACAGTTGCAACTATTGTCTTGTTACTATCTCAGTACAGTTGCAACTATTGTCTTGTTACTATCTCAGTACAGTTGCAACTATTGTCTTGTTACTATCTCAGTACAATTGCAACTACTGTCTTGTTACTATCTCAGTACAGTTGCAACTATTGTCTTGTTACTATCTCAGTACAGTTGCAACTATTGTCTTGTTACTATCTCAGTACAGTTGCAACTATTGTCTTGTTACTATCTCAGTACAGTTGCAACTATTGTCTTGTTACTATCTCAGTACAGTTGCAACTATTGTCTTGTTACTATCTCAGTACAGTTGCTTTACATTTTTTTAAAGAAATAAAATATTTTTTTTTTACTTCCTCTGCTCTTAGACCTTTACACACTCACACCCATTTAGCCACATCTGTCGCCCTTGTTGCCAGCTTGTTATTTAGAAATGAACAGGTCGTTAACTTCGCCATACTGTATTGCTTTGCGATGTCGGAAACTCCAAAGCCTTTATCTTGTTCCATTCTGTCATTACTTCTATTAATAGCACGTTTCTCTTTCTGTGCCACAATGTGTTTGTGTACTGGTGTACAGTGTGTATCCAATACCCTTAGACAATGGAGTCACGTGAAACAATTCGTGACACACACGAAACTTTAGTGTGATGCGGGGTGTAGAACGTGCTTGAAAAATGTAAGACGTGACAACCCTGGCTCTCACACGACATTCACTATTACACACAACACACTAGGGTGATTTTTTTTATTGATTTTATTTTGAGGGGGGGGGCACACACAACACTAGAACATACGATGTTTGAGCCCAGCACTTGAACTTGCGATGCTTGAACACTGCACTAAAACCTACGATGTTTGAACACGTCCATTAAAATAACTATGTTTGAACACAACACTGCGTTAAACGCGCCAAATGACCACTGTTCCGGCGGGGTTGTATGTGAGCTTGTATGTGCACTTTTATGTGCACTTGTATGTGCACTTGTATGTGCACTTGTATGTGCACTTGTATGTGCACTTGTATGTGCACTTGTATGTGCACTTGTATGCGCATGTTCTTACTCACAAGTACCGTTCATGAGCGGTAAGACAACAATTTTTCCACACTACTTGCTTGTTAATGGATTTGTTCATTCAATGGGGTATTTGTTCTATGTTACGGACGTCATCAAAGGATTCAGTGTATTATAAAAAGAAGAACAACACCCGACAAACAGTGAGGAGATGTCAAAGTTAAAGGTCACGATTTAAAGGGACGTAAACAAAATATAATTGAGTGCTGGAAGCAGTTTTGTTATTTCCCTGAATGTAAAAATATGTTCATTCAAATTAATGAAGGGCTTCCTCTTGTTTTACACCTGAAATAAATGTTAACATATGCTCTAAATTTACTCGATCCTGATACTCGGTACTCATCGTTAGTTAAGTATGCAGTGTTCATTATTTGTTAAGTGCTAGGTACTCATTGTTAGTTGAGTACGCAGTGTTCATTATTTGTTAAGTGCTAGGTACTCATCGTTAGTTAAGTACGCAGTGTTCATTATTTGTTAAGTGCTCTGTACTCACTGTTAGTTGAATTATTACAGGTCAACGATCGTTCAAAGCTATCGAAGTGTGACTACACAGTAGATTTGTATTATCTAGGTGCTAGAACAGGGGTGTCAAACCTTTTCGCCTCCACGGGCCACATTCCAAGTAGACGAGTTGTTTTAGTTGAAACTCGGTTAAAATACTGTGTTGATTGGTTGGTCATCAGCTTATTGACACATTTTTATGTGAGCGCTTTAGTCTACTAGAAAGGCAAGAACTTTACTAGAAAGGCAAGAACTTTACTAGAAAGGCAAGAACTTTACTAGAAAGGCAAGAACTTTACTAGAAAGGCAAGAACTTTACTAGAAAGGCAAGAACTTTACTAGAAGGGCAAGAACTTTACTAGAAAGGCAAGAACTTTACTAGAAAGGCAAGAACTTTACTAGAAAGGCAAGAACTTTACTAGAAAGGCAAGAACTTTACTAGAAAGGCAAGAACTTTACTAGAAAGACAAGAACATTACTAGTAAGGCAAGAAGTTTGTACCAGCTGTCATTGCCCACGAGTTGTAATTGTCAAACAGTTTTCATTAACAACCAGTTATCATTGTCCACCAGCTGTCTTTGTCTTCCAGTTGTCATTGTCCATCAGCTGTCTTTGTCTTCCAGTTATCACTGTCCACCAGTTGTCATTGTCCTCCAGTTGTCATTGTCCTCCAGTTGTCATTGTCCTCCAGTTGTCATTGTCCCCCAGTTGTCACTACTCACAAGTTGACATCCTCAAGACGTGTATAGCATAGATGACAGTCAGTATGAGGTCAGCTATATATCTTTAAGGTTTTTTACCGCATACATTTTCCTGTAGCACTAGACAATGACATTTCCTCACGCGTCAATTTTTGGTAGGCTACAGCATTGTCTTCTCTAAATTATGTAAGTCCTTCTCTTCTACCCACCATCACATGGACACCATGAGTGACTATACCAGTATAGTTCCCTAAGTCCATCACAATGGACCCCAAAAAAAAAACCCCTTCTTCACCTTAAATTTCCCACATTCGTTTAAAAATTAAGTTTCACCAAAGAGTCTTTTCCTTCTGGTATATTATATTTGGCTTCAACACCTCTAATAAAATTGCCAATTGAGCTGTATCAGTGGTAGCATTTCTTTTGTCCGCCGTCAAATCTTAACACTTAAAATAGCAGCTGCGTACTCTCCTAAAAAAATTTCTAAAAAATTGTTTTTTTTAATAAATCCGCCCTCCATAGTGTGGTGAGAGAGAATATTTGTAGAAAAATACCATTCGAAAAGAGAAAATTAAATCTGAAATACTCATCATATATTGTTTATTGAACTCGTAATTGACATAAATGTGTTTTGATATTTATGCTATGAGGTTTGAAAAAAAAAAGTTTTTTAAGCACAAATCCGTTTTAATTGTTATTAAAAAAAAATAATAGTCGAGATGACATAACTTTTTTTTCCAGTTCGTACTATCATTGATTGTATTCTTTTATATGAACTTCAGTTTGCTTCGTGTGTTTCTTTCGGTACGGGTGGGTGGAAAAATCCTTGGGACGGCTAATTGACCCACTTCCTGTCAACCACTTGATCTGAAACCTGATACACAGACTTTTCAGTTTTTAGGAGCACGTGAAGAAAATGTAATACTTTATACTTATTTGGGAAATATGTCAATGGTAGATTTAAATATTCTCCCAGTTTTACAATTTCAACAATCTGCTGAGTTGAACTAAGCTACTCAAAGAATCCTGATTTAAAATATTGATGAGCAGCAATTTTGTATGTTCAAAACATTGTTAACATTTTCAACGTAACGTTTGTATCATAGTTTATTTTAAATTTTAAGGTCCGAAGGTTTAATTTTTAAACAACATTTGTAACTAACAAAAATCATTTAGAAATGATCATAATTAGGACACAATAAGATCGGGACACTCTTCCCCATTGTCTCCAGCAGCAGACGTGACGCCGTCAGAGCAGCACCCATATCTCGTGCCCGCGCAACCACCGACAAAGCCAGCGTTCACACAGTTCTCTTTATTGGGTCCCCCGGCAGGGGTCCTTCCGTCATCACAGCAACCATATTGAGTCCCTCTGCATCCCCCTTTCCAGGCTGAAAAAAAAAAAAAAAAAAAAAAAAATTCCTAAAGCAACCCCCGACAAAGCCAGCGTTCACACAGTTCTCTTTATTGGGTCCCCCGGCAGGGGTCCTTCCGTCATCACAGCAACCATATTGAGTCCCTCTGCATCCCCCTTTCCAGGCTGAAAAAAAAAAAAAAAGAAAAAAACATTCCTAAGTTAAACCCCACCGTTTTGATCCCTTGCCACTTGGTGAACAGTTTTGAAGAATGTTTTATTTAAAAAAAACAACAACGATATGTCGGGTCCTAAAAAAGTAAAATTATCCATCACAACTTCTCAGTCATCCATAGGTAAATGCTTTTATCCAAGCTGCGGCTGACCTTATAGCGCTAAAGAAGCGAATCGATTTAAATACTTTCGAATTGTTAGAAACAATAAACGGGATTTCTTTAAATATGATAAAAATAAAATAGTTCTGCTTATATCTAACTATATGTTAAAGTATTAGTATTATTATAATAAAGCAGAAATATATTAAAACTAATTTTAAAGAATTATTTTAAGTATATTTTCCGCATTTAAAAGATAAAATACTCTCTTCTTTATTATCAATAGTTAAAGTCTGAATTATTGCTATTATAATTCATTAACACAATTATCGGGGAAACCCATAATCTGTTGTTTTAGTGCGTTGATAATTTTACGAAATTAAATTAAAATTAATTATACCTGAACGTCTTCAAACAATATCAAATTAAAATTAATTATACCTGAAGGTCTTCAAACAATATCAAATTAAACTTTTCGAATAAACTCAAAGTGGAAATATTATAGTATTTTCAAAAGAGCAAATATTTTAGCTTGCAAATAAAAAGCATAAAGTTATTTTGATTTAATAACCACTTGTGACAGAGTGATAATGTTTTATCCACTGTTTTAAAGTAAAATTCGATAATACATATAATTGATTGCATTTGAATTGTTAATAAACCACATCAAGTTTCAAACATGTATTTTTTAATATTAAATACGTTTTACTTATTTTTTCCTTCCAAAAATATACTTTTATCACATGCATAAAAATGTAAACATGTATATATTCTCACATGTTTCTTGACACTCTGTACACACCACCAGCAAGACAACGGTCAGAAGAAGAACTTTGAAAGCCAGCATGTTGTTTGTTTTTGTTCTGTCTGAAAGTAATAAGGAAATGAATGAACGGAAAAATAATATATAATTTGTAGTGAGCTCATTAATGGTCAAAGGACACAAGTTTGAATACGATTCTTTTCTTTTTAAAGAGGGATTTAAACATTGAAAATGAGATCCACTGGAGGGAATCTGTGACAGGGAGAATAAAAAGTGATGAGTAATCAGGAGTTGAACAATTTATTAGCAGAGAATGGAAGGTTCTTGGAGTAATTGGATAAATGATAGCGATTTTTTTAGATAGAAACTGAGAGACAGAGTGTTACATTTAAGGAGGTTTAGCTAGACATATAGACTGGAAGCCAGAGACTCGGAGCCAGAGAAGCGGAGCTAGGGACTGGGAACCAGAGATATGGGGCCAGGGATTGGAAGCTACAGAATGGAAGCTAGAGACAGGAGCTTAAGGTTAACATTTAAAATTTTTTACCTAGATGGTTACAAACCAAAGAGGCTTACCATCGATAATAATGAATCGAGATAATTATCTAACAAAAAGATCACTTTTTCAATCAGTCTTGCTAGCTTATTTATGATACCCCTAAACCGGTACTTAATGAATACTTACAACTACACCACTGTGTTGTTGAGATTGCCAAGTTGAATTATTGCGAAGATCGTTTGAAACAGTCGTGGCGACGTCTTATCGTGTATCAGTACACTAGCTGGTGGATCTATTTATGTTGTTTTGTCTGACACTGCCAGCTTAGGTGGTTTAGGCAACGTTTATATCTGATTTCAATCAAAGACGTCACATGTTTAAAACAAGTACTAATTTCGGACGTTTAAGTTTGACATTTTCCTGACTTTTGGACGTTCCCTTATTAACGCTAATCGCCAAAGTTTATTGTGATTGCGAAACTCATGTTGTGAATACGCCAACTCAGAATCGATACTTGTGATACCGTTTTCTACATTTTGTAATCATAATAATTATTTTCGAAAAATAAAAGATAGAAATAATTACAGTTAGATTATAATTTATTTATTGTTGTTATTTTATCTTTACCCACACTAGTATTTTATCTATTCTCAACGGCATAAGTCCTATCAACTATCGAATATGCGTTGTCGAAAAACAGACACATCTTTTTACGAGATCAAAAAATCTTGTTTACAACTACTGCAGTGGATCCAACAGACATCAGGAAAACTTGATCTCATTATGAGAGCTGTAATAGTCAAAAAGTTATCATAAAACTAGGCGCACGAAAGCTGTTACTAGTAGGTCAGGCTGAATTGCTTACACAACGTTTTTGCCGTAGGTTGAATACGGTCACCATACGCTGTTTTGTGGTCTTCACAAAGGTTTTAATTGTGGCCATAATTGCATATTCACGTGTTCTGAGTATCGTTTAATTCAACAGTAACTAAATATGACCCGCCCCCTTTGTGTATGAGCTTGGGAGCACATACTGAAAAATGTTGTTTCTCTGTATTTACAATGCGTCTAGAAATAGAAATCAACATTTTGTGGTTTTTACGAAACTTCAAAATCAAAATTTAAATTTATAAACTATTTTGTAGCGCAAATTCTATCCGAAAATTCCGTCCATACCAGACATTGTTATGTACATTGCGCGGCACATTAATTTTTGTGCGTTTTACATCGCTGTTGTGTGTTGCGGTTCAATGGTTTGTGTTGTAGGTCACTTTGGTGTGTTGTATGGCACAGGTATGTGTCATTTTATGTATTGTACCCCAGAAGAGTATAAACTGTCAGAGCAGCTGCCATATTTTATCCCTATGCTACTACCAATGATGCCTCAAGAAGAATTGACATTTCTACTTGAACGTTTGCCTTCTGAAAAGTATGTTATAGATTTAGGGAATATGTTAGAAGGGAAATGTTTATGATGCAATTAAATTTGCAAAAGGTATACTACATTTGCGGAAAAAGGGGTGAACCAATATTTTGCACGTTTGAAATAACTTTGTATTAAATATGTACCGTAACAAAAAACTCAATACTCGTTAAGTTGATTATTTAATTCTATTTCTTTTATTTTGTAATTATATTGATAACTAAAAAAATCTTATTAATTGTAATTAGCACTGCTTCGAGTGTCGTATTTTCTGATCTGGTTTTCATTATTTGATATCGTCTTGTTATGCACTGTTCTGGAACAAGCCATACATGTAAATACATGTAAATAGTAGTTTAATTTCTCCATATAGACGGTAGCGCGTAGCAAAAAACATTCTCTCAAATTTTCAGCCACCAGCCCCAGCCCCCCCCCCCACAACCATTTAAAAAATCATTTGCATTTAAAACTGAAAACGTAACAAAAAATAATTCAACACAATGTTTTATTGACGTTAATTTATGTCTAATACAGAATCTAGATTTTTTAAATGTGAACCTATTTCTCTAGATTTCCTCGTTTACTAAATACAATCATTGAGGAATCATACTTAGGAAAGTAGATTTCTGTTGCACCCTTCCTTATTGTCTCCAGCAGCAGATGTGACGCCGTCAGACCAGCACCGTATCTCATGCCCGCACATTCCTCGTTTAAAACCAGCGGTTCTACAGTTTTCTTCATTGGGTCCCCCGGCAGGGGTCCTTCCGTTATCGCAGCAACCATATTGAGTCCCTCTGCAGCCCCCTTTCCGGTCTGAAAATAAAAATTCAAAAATTTAACTTCAACGTATGGATTCGCTCAAATAACTTATGAAAAATTATGGAACCATTTTTAGTAAACATTTCAGGAGCCTTTTTAAAAAAAAAAATATTTGTTAAAAAAGTCTTGTTTGTTAAAAACATCTTATTTGTTAAAAAAGTCTTGTTTGTTAAAAACATCTTATTTGTTAAAAAAGTCTTGTTTGTTAAAAACATCTTATTTGTTAAAAACGTCTTATTTGTTAAAAACGTCTTATTTGTTAAAAACATCTTATTTGTTAAAAACGTCTTATTTGTTAAAAAAAGTCTTATTTGTTAAAAACATCTTATTTGTTAAAAACGTCTTATTTGTTAAAAAAGTCTTATTTGTTAAAAAGTCTTGTTTGTTAAAAAACGTCTTATTTGTTAAAAAGTCTTATTTGTTAAAAAAGTCTTGTTTGTTAAAAAACGTCATATTTGTTAAAAAACGACTTATTTGTTAAAACGTCTTATTTGTTAAAAACGTCTGATTTGTTAACAACGTCTTGTTTGTTAACAACGTCTTAATTGTTAAAAACGTCTTATTTTTTAAAAACGTCTTATTTGTTAAAAACTTCTTATTTGTTAAAAACGTCTTATTTGTTAAATGTATCATTTGCCTTTGCACTTTTTGTTGTTTGTATGCGCTAAAAACTACACACGATAAATCAGGCTCTTAAAAATAACATTATCCACCGCAATTCTCTGTCTGACTACATAGGTAATGCTTCATCCAAGCTGCGGCTGACTTTATAACGCTATAGAAACGAAATTTGTTTTTCTTCTGTCTGAACGTAATAAGCAAATGTATTAACGTGGAAAAAAAAAATCACATAATTTGTTGTGAAGTTCGCATTTAAGGGGGAAAGGTCAAAAGTTTGAATACGATTCCATTTTTCTTTTAAAGAGAGATTCAAAATGTAAAAATGAGATCCAGTGAAGGTAATCTGGGGCACGGAGTATTAAATGGGATGGGTAATCATGGAGTGTGATGGGTAATCATGGAGTGTGATGGGTAATCATGGAGTGTGATGGGTAATCATGGAGTGTGATGGGTAATCATGGAGTGTGATGGGTAATCATGGAGTGTGATGGGTAATCATGGAGTGGAACGTTTTGGAAGCAGAGAATGGAAGGTGGATGGAGCAATGGATAAAAGTTTGTGATTTGTAGATGGGGACTGGGAGCCAGGGTGTTACATTAAGAACGTTCAAGCTAGAGTCGGGTAGCCAGAGATTGAAAGTTAAATGGAAGCTTCGGGCTAACATTTAAAATTCGTAACCTTGAATGTTACAACCAAAGAATACAATTGATATTTAATCGATATTATTATCTATCAAACAAATCCCTTTTACTATCAGTAGTGCTATATTACTTATAATGCACCTATATCATTACTTAATGAAAACTTTAAACCACACTGCTCAGTGGCAAAGATTGCTAAACTGAATTCCTGCGAACAAAGTTTCAAACTGTCGTGGCGACGTCTTATCGTGTGTCAAATAGTTGGTAGACCTTTCTACGTTGTTTTGTCCGACAATGCGAGTAGCGGTTGTGTGTGGACCATTTATTTCAGATTTTGTGGTGACGTTTTATCATGTGTGCACTACATCAACTGGTAGATCTTTTTACTTCATTTTGTCCGACAATGCAAGCTGAGGTTATGTATGCAACATTTACATCAGACTTCCATGAAATATGGAACAGGTTTTAAAATACGGTTTTAATTTCTTGCAATTTAGGATTGCCATTTTCAAGACTTCTTCTTCTTATATTTGAGGGGCCCACGATCAATGTGTTGATCATTCTGCTCCTGGTTTAAATTCAGAGTTTGCCTTCTCTAAGATGGGTTGCCGTCAAGGGCTAACGAGTCCCATCCACCCGGTTGCTTGGGATGTTGGCTTTGGTGGAGATTGAACTCCAGACCACCAACTATTTGGTTTGAGACAGTTTAGACCGCTCGGCCACCCAGCAACCCAGACTTTTTGAAGTTCCCTTTTTCTTTGGCTAATCGCCAAAATTTATTGTGATTACGAAACTCGTGTTATGAATACGCCAACTCAGGATCGATACTTGTGATATCCTAATTTAGTAAAATATAGAAATAAGCATAGCCATGTTATCGTTGTTATTCTATTTTTTATTCCATCATCCATTCTCAACGACTCAAGTCCTAGAGACTATCCCATGGCCGCTGTCGATAAATACATCTATTTATTGACGAGATGAAATCCTGCAGTTCACAACTACTGGCTCGGATCAAACAAACACAACGAAACGTGATACGAATCTCAAATGACATTTAGTAATTACCCATGCAGTGTTCTGTCGCCATATCGCCCTTTGGCTGCCATGCAGTTGCCACAGTGCCATCTCATTATGAGCGCTTTAAACTTCAAAAGGCTGTCATGACACTTGACGCACAAAATACTTTACGCCGGAGACAGAGTGAGTTGCACACACAGTGTTTTTTTTTGCCGTATGTTGGATTCGGTCACATGTTGTTTTGTAGTTTTTTTTTTTACAAAGCTTTAAATTGTCGGCTAAATTACATATTCGCCTGTTCTGAGCTTCGATAAATCCCACAGTTTCTAAATACAACCCGAGCCCCCCTTTTTGGGAAAAAGGGGGGGGGGCGAAATACCATATTTCTTGTATGATCTTGGGAGACAATATTGAAAAATATTGCTTCTCTGAATTTACAATGTGTCTAGAAATAGAAATCCCTATTTTGAGATTTTCGCATACCAACCCGTCTTATCAACTGGACTCTACAATAACACAAAACTCTAAAGGGCGCATGAGATTGTCACATACCAACCCGTCTTATCAACTGGACTCTACAATAACACAAAACTCTAAAGGGCGCATGAGATTGTCACATACCATACCGTCTTATCAACTGGACTCTACAATAACACAAAACTCTAAAGGGCGCATGAGATTGTCGCATACTAACACGTCTTATCAACTGGACTCTACAATAACACAAAACTCTAAGGGGCGCATGAGATTGTCACATACCCACCCGTCTTATCAACTGGACTCTACAGTATCACAAAACATGAAACCACGAACCTAACGAAGGACACCAAGTCATGCAGGATGATCCATGTGTTTGGTCAGCTTGACATTTTCAACCAGATGTCATTGTCAACATTAGCAATCTTACACCATAAAGTAAATAGTCCACCCCCCCCCCCCAAATCCGCATTCATCTTTGAAAAGTCAATCATCATCGGGACACCATCAGTGGCAAAACTAGACGTTTTCACAAAGTCCATTCCTCTGTACCATTACCACTGAAACATCATCATAAGCCATACCGGTATGTTCACCATGTCCATCTCCTTTATCCATCATTACCAAGACACACACGGTACCTAAAACACTATGTTCACCAAGTCCATTTCTTTTACCTATCATCAAAGGAGCACCATTAGTGGCTATACCAGTTACGTTTACAATAAACCAAAAAACAACAAAAAAACAACAACAAAAAACAACAAAAAAACAACAACAACAACCGCCGCTCCTTGACGTCTTTCCCCAGCTTCTTATCAAAATATAGTTTCACCAAATAATCTATTCTTTCGCGATGTTATATTTGTCACGTATACCTCTTTTATAATGGCCAATTGCGCTTTTACTGCAATAGTAATATCATTAATTTTGTCCTTTGCCAGATCATACAATTTAAAAATAGCAGTTGAAGTCTCCAATAAGTGAACTACAGAATTTCCTATTTGACCAAATCCGCCGGTTCACAGTCTTATGAGACTAAATAAGTATAGAAAAATACACCTTGAAAAAAGAAAACAAAATCTGTAATGCTCATTGGTGAATGAACTCGTCATTGACATACGGTTTGAAACCACACTACAAGGTTTCTCAAAACAATCTGTTTCAGTTGTACTTTTTAAAAAAAAAAAAAAAACAACTCTTTCTCGAGATGATATACATTTTTTATTTCGTATATTTTCAATTGTATACCTTTATATAAACTGTACTTTTGTATGTGTGTTTCTATTTCTCTGGGTGTGTGATAAAGTCTTCGGGCGGCCAATTAACCCACTTCCCATAAACATATAGAACTGAAGCTTGACACATAGATTAGTTGGACATGACAAAACATTCTGTCAAATTTTAAGCCCCACGTCCCTACCTCAAACCTACTAAAAATACATGTTTTTTGTTTTTTTGTATTTCAAGGGGAGTTTGAGGGAAATATGATGTCACTGATTTCATGAAAATAAATTACCGATAACTGCGCTAAATTAGATTCTTAAAAAGGTCGCAAGTGATTTTGGTGCGTAATATTATCCTTTGTTTTTCTGAAATAGTTTGTGAAATAAATTTGTGGTGTTAATCGGGTGCTCATTCGAAAAATATAATAAAGCAGCTGAGTTTTGAACTTTCTTCAGTTGTTCTATGAAACTTTTTGGTGAGCCTGACAGAAGAGAGCTACATTAGTCAAGACGAGAGAGAACATGAGAATAGACCATGTTGTTTTTTGTTGTTGTTGCGCCAGTTGTGATAGAGTCGTGGATGGAGCAGATCTGACGGATAGCGGTGTATGCAGAGCTTCAAATGTAAGAAATATGATTATTTAGAGACATGGTGTCGGAAAGAATGCAATTAAGATTCCTATTAGAAGATGTCAACTCTATGTCGGAGCTAACTACTTGAAACGAGATAGGGAGAGCTGAGTTAGAGGAAGATTCGCGATTGTAAGTGAGGAGTGCTTCCGTTTTTTCATCGTTCAGCTTCAACTTGCTGAGAGTCATCCATGAATTGACATCACCAATAACTCCCCGACACTGATAATATGAATAATAATACTAATGCCAAATGAATTGTTAAAGTCTAAAAGCTAAGTGGCTACAACGTTAAGTCTCTTCGTCTGAGTTAGATTGAAACAAGTTGTTGGTACGAGTCTTTATTGCACAATAATTTCATGTGAAATTGAAACTTGGAGTTTTTTTTCCTTCTGAATTTAAAGGATATCTTTGCAAATCAATTGATGATGCTATATAACTATTTGGACGATTTGTCAATGGCATGTAACTAAAAGCAGCTATTTCTTTTAAAAGAAATATTATTCGTGCTTTGACGATGCAACATTTTTCTGAGATGAATTCAACTACTCCAAGTAACCTGATTTGAACGATGTTTGAAAGCAATTTCATGCATTCAAATCATTGCTAATTTTTTTTAAAAGTAAGGTTTTATCATATTTTATTTTAATTAAAAAAATTATCACACAAAAAAATATGTTTTTTAAAACTAAACATTTAACTTAATTTTCTAAATTATATACAAATTTTGTATCCAAATAAATCTTATTGTAATCAGAAAAAGGACAAGACAATTTAGGCGCATCCTTCCTTATTCTCGCCAGCAGCAGACGTGACGCCGTCAGAGCAGCACCCATATCTCGTGCCCTTGCACCCACCGATAAGGCGAGCGGTTCTACAATTTTCTTTTTTGGGTCCCACGGCAGAGGTCTTTCCGTCTTCGCAGCAACCGTATCGAGTCCCTCTGCAGCCCCCTCTCAGGTCTGAAAGAAGATAAAAAAAAATTAAAATTCAACAATTATGATTTAATTAGTTACCATTTATTTGGAAATTTAAGGTCATGTTTAGAGAAAAACGAATTGTAGTTTAGGGCCGTGAAAAGTTGTTTGCGTAGGAGTATATTTAATGGCAGAAAACAAAATACTTAATTTTTTAAAATTATTCTACATGCTGGCCTCCGTCCGTCACAATGTGACGATGCTGTAGACTTTGCAGCATGAAATCAGCAAGGCCTGGAATGATTCTTTTTGGGATTGTAAGCTCGTTCATTACACGGCAAATCGCCTCTCCCCACACCGCTGGATAACCCAAGGGAACTTCATGGGGATCATACAGCTTGGCACCAGTGGCGTCGCATGGCGTTGTCGGAAAGTTAAATTTAACCAATGTTATGCGCCTACGGGACTCCATCTCCAAGGTTTGAATTGAGGGTTTCCTTCTCTTAGACGATGTTACAAGCGTAAATATCAATGCAGAGAGACTTTCTTTTGAAATACGGAACTTTGATGAGTTTTTGAAATAGCAAGTGGGAATTATCGCAGTGCACCTGATCTTGTTATGTCGATAACACCGGGTGATATTTTCTTGTTAACAATATGCAGCACCGAGTTGCATGGATTTATTTTATTGTGTCCTTTCCATAGTCAATTCATAATGCATGCAAAGAAAAAAAAAGGCAATGTCAACATTTAGCCACATTTTAATTTCATTTAATACATAGTGTATAACGAGACACTAATATGACGACGAAAATACCTGTACACACATTGATTGAATTGATGCATCACTTGTTTGAACCAATACGTATGCAGTGGGGTTTTTAAAAAAAATAACTATATAATATTGATGAAGAACACTACAAAAATGTTTATGGGATTTCAAAGTCCCTCCCCTCTCCACGTCACACATACCTATATCACTCCATTAAATCCTTTCTATCAATTTCGGTTTTGTTAATGTGTTTCTTTTCTGGCTGGGCGACACGATCTTCGGACGGATGATTGACCCACCTCTTGTCAGAAGTTATCGCGCTGGAACTTGGCACGTAGATTTGTTTACAATAACAAAATATTAAAATATTCACCACCCGGCCCTAACCTCCACCCGGCCCCACCCGGCCCACACCACCACCCGGCCCTACCCTCCACCCAAAACAATTTTTACTTTTTTTTTTTTTTTTAAAGAAGAAGGTGAAGGAAATTTGATGGCATTTATTTCAAAAAAAAATCTTCACGATAACTGAGCTAAATCAAATTCTTCCGAGAAAAAATCTTCACGATAACTGAGCTAAATCAGATTCTTCCGAGAAAAAATCTTCACGATAACTGAGCTAAATCAGATTCTTCCGAGAAAAAATCTTCACGATAACTGAGCTAAATCAGATTCTTCCGAGAAAAAATCTTCACGATAACTGAGCTAAATCAGATTCTTCCGAGAAAAAATCTTCACGATAACTGAGCTAAATCAGATTCTTCCGAGAAAAAATCTTCACGATAACTGAGCTAAATCAGATTCTTCCGAGAAAAAATCTTCACGATAACTGAGCTAAATCAGATTCTTCCGAGAAAAAATCTTCACGATAACTGAGCTAAATCAGATTCTTCCGAGAAAAAATCTTCACGATAACTGAGCTAAATCAGATTCTTCCGAGAAAAAATCTTCACGATAACTGAGCTAAATCAGATTCTTCCGAGAAAAAATCTTCACGATAACTGAGCTAAATCAGATTCTTCCGAGAAAAAATCTTCACGATAACTGAGCTAAATCAGATTCTTCCGAGAAAAAATCTTCACGATAACTGAGCTAAATCAGATTCTTCCGAGAAAAAATCTTCACGATAACTGAGCTAAATCAGATTCTTCCGAGAAAAAATCTTCACGATAACTGAGCTAAATCAGATTCTTCCGAGAAAAAATCTTCACGATAACTGAGCTAAATCAGATTCTTCCGAGAAAAAATCTTCACGATAACTGAGCTAAATCAGATTCTTCCGAGAAAAAATCTTCACGATAACTGAGCTAAATCAGATTCTTCCGAGAAAAAATCTTCACGATAACTGAGCTAAATCAGATTCTTCCGAGAAAAAATCTTCACGATAACTGAGCTAAATCAGATTGTTCCGAGAAAAAATCTTCACGATAACTGAGCTAAATCAGATTCTTCCGAGAAAAAATCTACACGATAACTGAGCTAAATCAGATTGTTCCGAGAAAAAATCTTCACGATAACTGAGCTAAATCAGATTCTTCCAAGAAAAAATCGCAAGTATTTTTGGTGCGTAATATTTTCTCTTGTTTTTCTGAAATAATTCGTGTAGTAAATCTGCGATGTTAAAGATGATAGTAAATAAGAATATTACTAAAAAAATGAAAAAAAATGAATACAAAATATTTTTACGAATAACTTCTTGTTTGGAGTTCGTTACATTATTTCTTGACATCAGTTTATTGTAGTGCTACGTTATGGTATGCAGGCTAGAGTTCGGGAAAATGGAGACATTTCCAAACCATTCCCTGCAACAAACTGCGTGAAGCAAGGCTGTGTACTGACCACAACACTTTTCAGCCTCATGTTTTCCGCCATGCTGACTGATGCGTTCAGAGAGGCTGATGTGGGAATTGTCCTGAGATAACGCGTGGCGGTAATCTATTCAACCCCAAGAGGCTACATGCCAAAACGAAGGTCCTGACAGACACCACCATGACCTCGTGTATACAGACGACTGTGCCCTAAACGCTGTATCAGAAATGAATATTCAATGCAGCGTCACAAACTTTTCCAATGCCTGCACAAACTTTGGGCTCACCATTAACACAAAAACGACCGAGGTCCCGTACCAGTCAGCTCCCCAAAGACCTAATTTTGAGTCCAACATCGAAGGAAACGGCGAAACACTGAAGGTAATCAATAGATTCACTTAACTTAGCACAACTCTGTCCCAAAACACCACCATCGATGACGAGGTAAACCTCCGTGTTGCGAGAGCACTTATAAGCTATTGCCCATTGTCTAAGAACGTATGGACCAGGAGAGGTATCAGCACTCAAATTAAACAGAAAGTCATATTGCGACTGCTTTTCCTACTCTTCTCTATATCCATGAAACGTGGACGGCATAACAACGACATGCAATAATGCTGAACCACTTTCATACAACACTACTTAGAAAAATCCTCAAATTAAATGGCAGGACAGGGTTCCAGACACTGAAGTGCTCATACAAGCAGGTCTCCCCAGCATCTTTACCATCTTAATGCATTCTTTGTGAGAAATTCAGACGATTGTCTGCCCAAAAGAATATTATATGGTGAAATTGAACACGGCTGGCGGGCACAAGAAACGTTTTAAAGACAACCTTAAAGGCTCACTGAAAGTGCTTGACATAAAACCAGACACCTGGGAGGAAAAAGCGAAGGATCGAAAATCATTGCGTTCCACATGACATAGAGGATCCAAGCAACGTGAAGATAGTAGAACAGCGGCTACAGAGTGCAAGAGACATGACAGGAAGACCCGGTATGACTCTGATCCCTGAGATGACCCGTTATTCCGCTGCACCTTCTGCACAAGAAAAGTTCGTGCCTGATATGGCCTCATTAGCCAACGGCGCCCCCACAAACATAAATAGCAGAAATCTAATGATTGAAGTGGTCATGGGCAACTTCCAACTGACGAACAATACAGATGGCTAAAATAATAAATTGCATTACCCTTTCAAACTGATGCATAAAAAATGGTAATACTGCCGAACAAAAAGAATCGCACAGTAAAATATTTTAAAATATCTCATTTTTCTATCACTTAGTATACTTTAAATCATTTGAATTTAACAGAAAAATACTTCCGTTAATGTCAAATTTTATAACTTAGAAAATTAACCTTACGTCTTTCATAGGTTTCTGTACATGAAACCACTAACACTATGGCCAGTAGAAGAACTTTGAAAGCCAGCATGTTGTTTTTACTGTCTGAAAGTAAACAATTGAATATTTAAAAAAAAATAAAAATCACGTAATTTGGTATGGAGTTCACTTAAAATAATAAAGGATTAAAAGTTTGAAAAGGATTCTATTTGTTTTTTTACAAAAAGATTTATAATTTGAAAATCGGATTCAGTTGAAGGAATTTTGCTTGAAATTATTGCATACAAGTTAGTGATTTGTAGCAAGAGGTTGCAGCCAGGTTTTTACATGTAAGGAGATGGAGCCAAAGACTGTGAGCCAGAGCTTTACATTTAAGAAATTATAGATAAAGAATGGGATCCAGGGTGTTAAATTTAGGACAGGTTTAACTATGGACTGAGAGCCAGAGACTGAAAGCTATAGACTTAGATCCAGAGACCGGAAACGAGATACTGGGAGTGCAGAATCTGGAAGGCAAAAAAATGGGAACAAAAGATTGGGAACTAGAGACTGGAAGGCAGTGAGTGAGATGGAGCCCTAGACTGTGAACCAGAGACTGAAGTCAATATTAAAAGAGTTGAATCTAGAGTTTTACAACGCAGGCGAAATCCTGAAAAACAAAATCGAGATTATTATCTAATAAACAAATTGGAGCCAGAAAATAGGAGCCATGGCCTGGAAACCAGAGAATTGGAGCCATTGACTGTGTTCCAGAGACTAGAATCCATAGACTGTGAGCTAGAGGCATGAAGCAAGAAACTGAGAGATAGAGACTGGTATCCATATAGACGTGGTGCTAGAGTCTGGGATTCAGAGAGTCTTGGAGCTAGAAACTGGGAGACATAGATTGAGAGAAAGAGACTGGAAATTGGAGACTGGGAGCCTAAAGTCAAAATTAAAAGAGTTGTATCTAGATTTTTAAAACCCAGGCGTAAAACTGATCAGTCAATCAGTCATGCAAGCTTATTTGTGATGCGCTTATAACGGTACTTAATGAATACTTACAACTGCACCGCTGTGTGGCAAAGATTGCTAAATGGAATTCTTCACAACAAAGTTTGAAACTGTCGTGGTGACGTCTTATCGTGTGTCCAATGCAGTAGCTGGACTGGTAGATCTTTTTACGTCGTTTTGTCCGACAAAGCGAGCTGAGGATGTGTCAGCAATGTTTAAATTTGATTTCAAGGCATTTTTTTCACAGGTTTAAAAACAACTCTTTCTGCATTTTTTTAAATTGAAATTTTCATGTCTATAGGCGATTAATCAACGCTTATTTCTAAAGTTAATTGTGATTTCGAAACTCGACTTGTGAATGCGTCAACTTAGGATCGATACTTGGGATATCATTTTTTACTCTTTGTAATCGTATTCATTTTTTCCGAAAAATAAAATAAAGAAATTTTATGTTAATTATAATTTAATTATCTTTATTGTCTTATTATCACCCAAATTGGTAGATTATCTATTTGTCACGACACAAGTTCTAATAATAATCAATTAATTCGTTATCGAAATACAAACACTTCGACTGACGATAACAAAATGACCGTACTTGCAAGTACTCGAGCGGATCAAGCAGACGCCACGATACATAATCGTTCATTAACTCGAAAAGCAATTAGTAATTATAAACCAGGGATCTGAAACTCGCTGCCCGCTGGCCATTTGTGGCCTGCACGATGATACTATGCATCCCGATGCCTGACAGCAAAGTTTCGTATCAAAGTGACCCTCCGCGACGCTTTTAGTGTAATCTCACCGACCAGACCAATTCTGATTTCTATTATCTTTGTATAGGTTTGGACGTTGATTTATAATGGTAAACTGTTTTAAAATTGAACTAAAAGTTTGTTTTTTATTTAATAGAATTTCATGAGACCAAAAGGCTTCGAATATTTCATATACAAATATCAAAAGTTTAAAAAGTCAGTTAGTCGGTAATGCAGGAACATAATAGTGAAACTCTTAACAAACTGACATAGTATCAAAGAAATTCTATAAATTTATAAATATAATGTGTACGAGAGACGAGTGAGGGAAACTCAAAGCCTGTTTTCAGCTTGGTCACTTAGTCTTTCAAAATAAGGTTAGTAAAAAATGCATTTTCTACGATAAAAAATTAATTCTCCCCACAAAAGCTTCTTCATCGCATCAATAATTCATACATATTTCCTTCTCCTGTCCTCTGTTTCAACACATTTTCTTTTAAAATCGCTAGAGGGAATCGCCACATTTTTATTTTTTATTTTATTATTTTTCGCCTTAGCTTACCAGAAGCTCATTATTCGCATAGCTTTTAATTAACGGAATATTTTTACTTTAGATTACCGGGAATTTAACACCGTTAGTTGAACACGTTGACAGCCGGGTCTACATGTGGAGTGTAGGGGTGACGCAATGCTCTATATTCGAGTTTTAATGTCTTGTTGACCTAATTTTGGGAACAAACTAGCATAACTCTGAACACTGATTTGTTATTGTTTTAACCAAAATTATTGTTGATTTATTTGATGTGACTACAACTTTAGACCAAACAAAAAAAAATTGTATTCAATAGCAGTAAGCTTTGTGATGCTCTTGTGGTTGCCGGTTTACCGTTGAAACATTTTAGAGGAAAAAAAAAACAATCGACGTAGCGCCATCAATGACAGGTATATAAATAGACTAGTGGCACATGTTCAAAGAAAATTGGAAGAGGAGGGTGTGGAGGAGGCCGTTGCTCTACAGTGCATAATCCATCAACAGGTCTTGTGCAGCAAATGCCTAAAGTTTGACCATGTGATGTCGTACGTGAAATGAATCAACCCTATCATATCCAGGTGTTGATTCACCGGAAGTTTAGTGCCTTAAAGACGAAAGAGAGTCAGCATATGAGGATGTTAACTACTTCACCGACATACGTTGACTTACTACTGGAAACGTCTTGAAAGTTGTTTTTTTTTAGGTAAGAGCAGAAATCAAAACCTTCATGGAGAAGGATCGGGTGGTTGTTTCTGTACTAAGTGACCCCAAATGGCTCATGGACTTGGCTTTTCTTGTTAACTTTAAACAAGAGCTTAATGTACTCCTCAAGATATTACAATGACAGCTTTTTCCGTGTTGTCTAAGACAATTCCCAGGCTTTCTGCAAAGAAACCTGTCATTTCCCAACATATAAAGTAATCTTGGACTTTGGGCACACCATACAGTAGTAAATATACTGATTTCATTGCAAGCTACAGGTAACATTTGGTCACAGATTTGCCAACTTTAAAAAACCCAAAGCCTTTTTTTTACATTTTTGCGGACTATTTCTCCTTAAATGTTGCAGATGCCCCCCCCCCTGCACCGTTTTTTGCGCTGAAATGGAGCTGATTGACCTTCAGTGCAGTTCTGAACTCAAGGTTAAGTTCAGGAAGGTGAATGGATTTCCAGGTTGTTCAAGCGGTTCATGTGCCTTTTTGGGAGTACCTATCTGTGTGAAAAGCTCTTTTCCACGATGAACTTGAACAAGTCAAAGTTCAAGGCCAAACCTACCGATGATCATCTTCAAGCTATAATGAGGGTCTCAGTTGCCTCCTCACTCCAGCTAAATGTTCTCAGCTGTGTAACAAGAAGCTTGTCAGGTTTCTGGAAACAAGGAAAAGGAGGAAGTAAGGGAAACCTGGTTCTTGAAGACCCTTATCCTTTTTAATGAATTAATCAAGTTTGAGCAGATAGTAACAGTTGTACTTTGTTTTTCTTGTTGGCATTTCACAGGAGCTAAATGAACTCCTCAAGATATTTGAAAGCCACGCGCAAATGTTATCCACAAATTCATTTCATGCCTGACACTTTTATGCATATTTCGCGACACAAAATTTGTTGTGCGTTGTGCATGCCAGGTGGTGTTGTGGTTCAATCGTATGTGTTGTAGGTCACCTTGGTGTGTTGTACAGCACTGTGTTTTATGTCATTTAACGTGTCGTACGTCACTGCTATGCATTGCACGTCATTCTTGTGCATTTAAGAATTTAACTATGTTATACAGTATATGTATTTCCATAAGCCTCATAAATTAAGTAGTGTTGGTAAAAAGGAAATTAACCTTTAATCACTCACATGATTATTTTTACAATTCACCATTTTGTCGAGAACAAACTATGTGCAAGACCTAAAGGAAAACATGAAAACAATATGCGTGATAACAAAAACGAACGTGTCGGCAAGATGCCTTTTTCGGTGAACATAACAACCAAAGAGTAACGCCCATACCTGATGGATGTAACCCCCGATCAACCTAACGTCCAGGCGACCATCAACATTGCCTCCAGCAGCAGATGTAATGCTGTCAGTACAACATCCATCGCTCATGTCTACACATCCACCGATAAAATTCTTTGGTCATCAGTGTTCTCTTTATGTTTGGGGGGGATGTGTCCCTCCAGCAGAGGTTTTACCGTCAGAGCAGCAGCCAGATTGAATCCCTCTTTTGACACCTATAAAGACTGAAAGAAGATTCAAAATTTACAGTTTAACACTGGCCTCCTGAAATGTAACTTCTTGTTTGGGGAATGTTTGGTTAGATAAGACATGTTCAAGAATAAGTTTAGGTGGCTGAAACTATCATACATGTAATTGTTTTCCTTCAGGAAACTACGTGCAGCCTCTACTGCCAACTATAACGACACCCAATTTACACGAAAAATAAAACCAAAAAATAAACAAAACATTACTACAAAATACAAAGCCTCAAAAATGAGTTGTTTGTTTACGGTTAAAGACTCAAAAGTGGGTTCTTTGTTTACGGTTAAAGACTCGAAAGTTTTGTTTTTTTTTGTTTACGGTTAAAGACTCAAAAGTGGGTTGTTTGTTTACGGTTAAAGACTCGAAAGTGGTTTTTTTTGTTTAAGGTTAAAGACTCAAAAGTGGGTTGATTGTTTACGGTTAAAGAGTCGAAAGTGGTTTTTTTTTTTACGGTTAAAGACTCAAAAGTGGGCTGCTTATTGAGGGTTAGAGACTGAAAGGTGGTTTATTTGTTGATGATGAAAGATTCAAAATTTGGTTCTTTGTTGACGTTTAGAGAGTGAAAAGTAATTTGTTTGTTAACGGTTAAGGACTTAAAAGTGGATATGTTTGTTGACGGTTATAGACTTAAAAGTGGATATGTTTGTTGAGGTTTATAGACTTAAAAGTGGATATGTTTGTTTACGTTTATAGACTTAAAAGTGGATATGTTTGTTGACGTTTATAGACTTAAAAGTGGATATGTTTGTTGACGTTTATAGATTTAAAAGTGGATGTGTTTGTTGACGTTTATAGACTGTAGTATTGATATTATTGTTTACGGATATAGACAACAGAGTTGATATCTGTTTTGACGGTCATAGACTAAAGATTTGATATTTGTTGGCGGTTAAGGGAAAAAAACGTTGATATGTTTGTTGACGGTTATTCACTCAAAATTGTGTATGCTTGTTGAAGGCTATAGGCTCAATAAACTACTTACCCACAGAAAGCTGAAATTGCTCACAGATGTTCTGTTTCATCTTAGTATCAGAATGGGGAGATTAAGTGGTTTTTTTCGACCCAAAGTTTGCCAAAATACGTGTTTTCAATTGATTAGCTTTACGAATGAAAACGTAAAACGATTTTGCGTTACGAAAAGAAAGTGACGTTCATGAAACGATACTTACTACAATGGTATCAAGTATCATTGTTGATTGGACGTTCATGAAAGGATACTTACTACAATGGTATCAAGCATCATTGCTGGTTGGACGTTCATGAAAGGATACTTACTACAATGGTATCAAGTATCATTGTTGATTGGACGTTCATGAAAGGATACTTACTACAATGTTATCAAGTATCATTGCTGGTTGGACGTTCATTTCAGGATACTTACTACACTGGTATCAAGTATCATTGCTGGTTGGACGTTCATGAAAGGATACTTACTACAATGGTATCAAGTATCATTGCTGGTTGGACGTTCATGAAAGGATGCTTACTACAATGGTATCAAGTATCATTGCTAGTTGGACGTTCATGAAAGGATACTTACTACACTGGTATCAAGTATCATTGCTGGTTGGACGTTCATGAAAGGATACTTACTACACTGGTATCAAGTATCATTGCTGGTTGGACGTTCATGAAAGGATGCCTACTACAATGGTATCAAGTATCATTGCTGGTTGGACGTTCATGAAAGGATACTTACTACAATGGTATCAAGTATCATTGCTGGTTGGACGTTCATTTCAGGATACTAACTACACTGGTATCAAGTATCACTGCTGGTTGGACGTTCATGAAAGGATACTTACTACAATGGTATCAAGTATCATTGCTGGTTGGACGTTCATGAAATGATGCTTACTACAATGGTATCAAGCATCATTGCTGGTTGGACGTTCATTTCAGGATACTTACTACAATGGTATCAAGCATCATTGCTGGTTGGACGTTCATGAAAGGATACTTACTACAATGGTATCAAGCATCATTGCTGGTTGGACGTTCATGAAAGGATACTTACTACAATGGTATCAAGTATCATTGCTGGTTGGACGTTCATGAAAGGATACTTACTACAATGGTATCAAGCATCATTGCTGGTTGGACGTTCATGAAAGGATACTTACTACAATGGTATCAAGTATCATTGCCAGTTGGACGTTCATTTCAGGATACTTACTACAATGGTATCAAGTATCATTGCAGGGTTGGATGATGTTGTGACAAACCATGTGTCTTTTTTTAGAGACAAACGCGCATTCCAGCATCTCTAACTATAGTGATAAAGCCGTTGGTATTGATCCCAGCGGAAACTTCTTATTCTGTTTGATAATTTAAGGAATGACTGTATGTTTATTCATCACACTATCATTGCTAGAATGAACATAGTGGAACTAATGGTGGATTAAAACGCTAACTAATATAAATAGAAGTAATGAAAAAAATTCGTCCACTACCCACACTTATCAACTGCACTCTACAAAAGCACAAAACTACAAATACGCATGCTTTATTTATTAAAAATTTAGCTGGCTCTTAGGGTGGTGATGACAGCTTTCAATACAAACCATGAATCTTTTGAAGGACACCAAGTTAACGTCAAAATGATCAATGTATTTCTCCTGCTTGACATTTTCAACTATATATCATCGTCAAACAGTTGTCATCGTCAAATATATGTCATTGTCAACCAGTTTTCATCGTCAAAATTTGTCACTGCCAACCATTTGTAATCACCGAGTTGTAAATTATGTTTTCGCTTCCACAAACAGTTTGATATAATTTCGCAAATCACAAAATCTTTTCACCATTCAAACTCAACTTCGTCATCTTACTTCAGAGAAGTAAAAAAAACAAGCCCCCCCCCCCACATGCAATTATCATTGATAAATTCATCATCACTGTTGTCATACAAGACATGTTCAGAAAGTCAACCTCTTTTATCCATCCTCATCGTGACACTTTGAATGGCTATACCATTATGTTCACAAAGTCCATCTCACTTACCTGTCATCAACGGGACACCATCAGTGGCTATACCAGATATTTTCAACAAGTGAATCCCCTTTACCTATCATCAACGTAACACCATCACTTGCTATACCAGATATATTCACCAAGTCCATCTCTTTTTACCTAGCATCAAAGGGAGACCATCAGTGGTTTTACCAATTATGTTTACAAGAGAACAAAACAAAACAAAAACAACCCCACCAAAACAATAAAACTCTCCTCAACGAATTTTGGAGAGCTTCTTATCAAAATATCGTTTCACCAAAAAAATCCAATACACAATTCTTCATCACCTCTAATCAAATGGCCAAATAAACAGTAATAGTATAACTTCTTTTGTCCGTCGCCAATTCATACAATGTATGATGTCTCCAAAACGTTATCTACAGAATTTACTATTGGACCAAATCGTCTGTCTATAGTTTGGTAAGACAAAACAAATATAAAAAAATACAACTTGAAAAGAGAAATTGAAATCTGAAACACTTATAATACATTAATTAATAAACTCGTCATTGACATATATTTTGATATTTATGCTGTGGGCGTTGAAACAACGCAACTGGTTTTCTCAATACAATTCTGTTAAAGTGTATTTTAAAAAAAACAACACAAAATAACAACTAATTGTCGAGATGGCATCCTTTTTTTTTCACTTCGTACTATCATTGTATTCCTGTAAATAAATGTCACATTTATTCATCTGTTTCTATCTGGCAGGATGAAATGCAAATTCTTTGGAAGGCTAAATGACCCACTTCCCGTCAATCTATCGTGCTGAAACTTAACACAAAGACTGTTTGCCAATTAAAACACATTCTCTTAAATTTTCATGTAGCGCACCACGCAGCCATTCTACAATCAGTTGCAGATAAAACTTTAAAACAAAAATTCAACACAATGTTTTATTTATCATAGTTTATTTTTAATACAGAATCTAGACATTTAAAAATTGATCACATTTCTTTCTAGATTACCTCGTTTACTAAATAAAATCATTTAGAAATCCTAAATTAGGAACGAAGATTTTGGCTGCAGCCTTCCCCATTGTCTCCAGCAGCAGACGTGACGCCGTCAGAGCAGCACCCGTACCTCGTGCCCGCACACCCACCGTAAAAGCCAGGGGCTACACAGTTTTCTTTATTGGGTCCCCCGGCAGGGGTCCTTCCGTCATCGCAGCAACCGTATTGAGTCCCTCTGCAGCCTCCTCTCAGGTCTGAAAACAAAAAAAGATTCAAAATTTAAACTTCAACATTTTGATCCGCACACGTTAACACTTGGTGGTGGAAAGTTATCGAAACAATTCTTTAGGGAACATTTCAGGAGTTTTTGATTTTTAAAACAAAATGATTATCTACATTTTTTTTTCTCGGGAGGGGGGGGGTTAAATATGTCAATTAATGATATTTGGCTGTTTTATGGTTTGTATGCTGTGGGAATAAAAGATATATCCGGCTCTAAAACATAAAATTATCCAGCACAAATCTCTTTCTGACTACATAGGTAATGCCTTCATACAAGCTGCGGCTAACCTTATATCGCTAAACAAACGAATGAATTTAAATACTTTCGGGTTGTTAAAAACAATGAACGGGATTTTTGTATTATTTTACGGAAATCGATTCCCTTCTAAGTTGATAAAAATAAAATAGATCTGCTTATATATATATATATATATTTATATATATATATATATATACATATAAATGTTAAAGTATTATTATTATAAATTTGAAATAAATTTAAAATAAAAATTAAAGAGTGATTTTAGGTATACTATCCAAATTTAATAAGTATCCTATTCTCTTTATTATCAATAATTAGAGTCTGGGTCATTAATATAATAATTCATAAACACAATTATATAAAAAAAAACATACTTCTGTTGTTTTAGAGCGTTTTTAGTGCCTTGCCCGTCCCTTGTCAGTCAATATTGCGATTTTAAAATAAATTAATTTGATCTAAATGTCTTCAAACCATATCAAATTAAAATTTTTGATTAAACTTAAGTAAAGAGAAATTTTATTACTTTTAAAATAGAAACATTTTGGCATGCAAATAAAAAGCAAAATATTATCCGCGTGTGACAAACTGAGAAAAAAATGTTTTTTTTCCTCGTTTTAAAGTAAGTCAAAACATGCAATTGATTGCTTTTTAAATTGTTTGTAAAACACGTCAAGTTTTATGCTTTTTTAACATGTCATACGTTTTTACTTATTTTTCATTCAAAAATATACTTTTATCAAATTTATAAAGATAATTAGAAATTAACTTTTAAAAATATGTTTAATAGAAAATACTGTCAGTAAAGTCAATAAGTGCAGAGAAGCTTCACAGCCAAACAGCACTCACTAATGCATTTATCACTCATTCAAAAAGGAACAAATCATATGAAGTTGCAATTGGTTCATTTTGATATTAATATCTCAAGACCCACGTATGTGACAGATTTGAACAAGTATAGTATTTAATGTTAAAATAGACAACTATAATATTTCAGTTTACGGAATTATGGGAGAAAAAGATTTATTTTATACATTTTAAAACAATGTGTGGTAAAAGGGATCTGAGATTAAGAATTTTAATTAAATTCAGGGTGTGCAAATTATGTATGGTTTCTTTCGTAGGGGGCTACCAGCATGTTGATGATTTAATTATTTGTAATAAAAAATTGTGGAGGAGGCAAATTTGACATATTTATTTCGCCACATCAGTACAAGATGCACCTCAGAAAAAGGGAATACATTAAAATAATAATGTACTTTCTAAGGTACATACATCGGAGTTAGGGAATAGGGTGTGCGCCATTTACGTCGATGATATTTGCCTTAAATCCATTGATATTACGGTAGTGAAAATAGATGTTACATTCTATGTTTACAAATAAATATCGCGATATTTTATTTCCCTTTACAATTCATGGGCGTGAATAAAGGTGGGTTAAGATTTGCTTTAAAAAAATAAAGATATATTATTGTTTTGACTTTGCTCAAAGTAAAGCGGATGTTTATATGTTTGATCAAATTAATAGCGGTTCTTAATAGAAAAAAACACTCAAGGTGCTTCAGACGGGAAAAGTATTTTGAAATTCTCTTTAAATAAATACTTTTTTTTATATTTTCCGATAACATAGACGAAAAACAAGGCAAAAATTTGGTGATATTTTTGAAAAAGTTATCAATATATCATATTCCGTTAAATGAAATACAGATATTTGTGTTGTCCTTTAACGTCACGTTTTACAATCTTTAAAGAAAACAAAATTTTTGGTTCAAGGGCAGCAAAAAGATTAGGATAGTGTGATGTTATATAACAGATACATATTTCTCATAACAAAATAAGTTAGAAACGTAAACATCATTATGCTTATTCTTCTTCTTTTTTTTTTTTTTTAAAGTAATTCTGGTGAATTTTTGCAACAGCAGGTGGAAAATATCACAAAATGTCTGTTATTATTACCCCGGTAACAACGTAACATATGTTCTTTTTTTTTTTTTTTTTTTAAAGTAATTGTGGTGAATTTTTGCAACAGCAGGTGGAAAATATCACAAAATGTCTGTTATTATTACCCCGGTAACAACGTAACATATGTTCTTTTTTTTCTTTTTTTAAAGTAATTCTGGTGAATTTTTGCAACAGCAGGTGGAAAATATCACAAAATGTCTGTTATTATTACCCCGGTAACAACGTAACATATGTTCTTTTTTTTCTTTTTTTAAAGTAATTCTGGTGAATTTTTGCAACAGCAAGTGGAAAATATCACAAAATGTCTGTTATTATTACCCCGGTAACAACGTAACATATGTTCTTTTTTTTCTTTTTTTAAAGTAATTCTGGTGAATTTTTGCAACAGCAAGTGGAAAATATCACAAAATGTCTGTTATTATTACCCCGGTAACAACGTAACATTATATGTTCTAGTTTAAACTAAAGAAATCTTGTTTTGCGACAAATATAATAAAAGTGGACACAGGCACACTTTAATTACATTTAATTTATTTTAAAAGAAGAAAATAATATGACGACACAATTTGCCAAGAACACAGTTATCGAAATTGTGCATCCCTTTGTTGACCCTTACGTATGCAGTGGTTAAATAATATTTTTATGATGTAATCTTCATAAAGTACACTATTATGAAGTCCACAGGATCACAGAATCGCGCCCCTCTGCAAGTTATATACTCCGATATTACCGATATTAATTCATTGGAATTTTAAAAAAAAGAGTGTTTCTTTAATTTCAAATTATATAACGTAGAAAGTTATTCTCACATGTTTCTTGACATTCTGTACACACCACCAGCAAGACAACGGTCAGAAGAAGAACTTTGAAAGCCAGCATGTTGTTTGTTTTTGTTCTGTCTGAAAGGAATAAGCAAATGTATTAACGTAAAAAAAAAACCAACAACTCCGTAATTTGTTATCGAGTTTGGATTAAAGGTCAAAGTTCAAAAGTTTAAATACGATTTGCTTTTTTTAAAAATAGCGATTGAAAATTGGACAGTGAGATCAAGTGGAGTGCATCTCTGGCAATGAATATAACAAGTGATGGGTAATCATGGAGTGGAAACATTTAGAAGCAGAGAATGGAAGGTGTTGGAGTGATTGGATAAACGTTAGTGATTTGTAGATGGGGACTGGGAGCCAGGGTGTTACATTAAAGATTGTGAAGCGAGATAGTGGGAGCCAGGGTGTTCCATTAAAGAAGGTGAAGCTAGAGAGTGGGAGCCAGGGTGTTACATTAAAGAAGGTGAAGCTAGAGAGGGAGAGGCAAGGTGTTACATTGAGAGAGGTTAAACTAAACTAGAGATAGTGAGCTAGGGAGTTACATTAAGGGAGTTGAAGCTAGAGAATGGTAGCCAGAGATTAGCAGCCAGATACTTGCAGCTAGAGACTGGGATAAGATCCTGGGAGCCAGAGACTGGGAAATAGAAACTGGGGGGCCAGAGATTCGCAGCCAGTGATTTGGAACGAGGGACTGGTGTCAAGAGATTAGGAGCCAGAGACTTGCATCTAGAGACTGGAGGACAGAGACTGGAAGCCTCAAGCTAACATTTAAAAAGTATTAGCTAGATTGTTACAGCCAAGGCATACAATTGATAATTAATCAAGATTGTTATCTAACAAACAAATCCCTTTTTCAATCAGACCTGTTAGATTATTTATAACGCACCTATATCGACACTTATGGAATACTTACAACTACAGCGCTGTATGGCAAAGATTGCTAAATTGAATTCTTCCGAGCAACCTTTCAAACTGTCGTGGCGACGTCTTATCTTGTGTCCAGTAGGTGGTAGACCTTTCTACGTTGTTTTGTCCGACAATGCCAGTAGCGGTTGTGTATGGAACATTTATATCAGAATCCAATGAAATATGTCACAGGTTTTAAAACAATTTTTTCCCCGCCATTTACGGTTGCCATTTTCCTGACTTGTGGACGTTCCCTTATTAACGCTGATCACCAAAATTTATTGTGATTATGAAACTCGAGTTGTGAATACGCCAAATCAGGATCGATACTTGTGATATCATTTTCTACACTTTGTAATCATAATCTTTTTTTTTTTCCATAAATAAAATATATACATAATTATAGCTGATTAATAATTTTTTTATAGTTATTTTATTTTTTATCCACATTAGTAGATTATCTATTCTCAACGACGCAATTCCTCTAAACTATCGAATACTCGTTGTCGAAAACCACACATTTATTTACGAGGGGAAATAATTGTGTTTACGACTACTTTAGTGGATCAAAGAGACACACACGAGACGGCAATTGAATCTCGAATTACAATTAGTAATTACCAAAGCAGAATTCTGTCGCCAAATTGGCCTCTGGCAGCCTAGCAGTTGCTGCAGAGACATGTCATTATTAGCGCTGTAACAGCCACACAAAAAGAAGGGATCATAGCACTCACCCCCGAAAGCTGTTGCGTTTTGGCCTTATGTTGAATTCGGTCACATGTTGTTTTATGGTTGTCGTAAGGCCTCAAATTGTACGCATCATTACTTATTCACGTGGTTTTCTTCGATAAGGTCGAAGCACTTAAGATACAATTGAGGTCAGTTTATTATACATTTCTGTTTAGAGCAACCCTCTATCCCGCAGTTACTAAATACCCACCCCCACCCCACTTTTATTGGGGATGGGGTGCAGGAGTACCGTATTCAGTGCAGGAGCTTAGGAGAACTTTTGGGAGAATGTTTCTCCTTTATAGTTACAATTTGTCTAGAAATAAGTATGCCCGTTTTGAGGTTTTCGCGAAATTTCAGAATCTAAATTTAAATTTATTAAGCTATATTGTAGCGCAAGGTCTATCCAAGATTTCCGTCCGTACCAGACACTGTTGTAGGTGTTATGCCTTGCACCTCGCTGTTGTGTGTTACAGTTCAATGGGTTTTTGTTGCAGGTCACGGTGGTGGGTTGTATGGCACTGGAATGTCACTGTGGTGGGTTGTATGGCACTGGAATGTCACTGTGGTGGGTTGTATGGCACTGGAATGTCACTGTGGTGGGTTGTATGGCACTGGAATGTCACGGTGGTGGGTTGTATGGCACTGGAATGTCACTGTGGTGGGTTGTATGGAACTTGAATGTCACGGTGATGGGTTGTATGGCTCTAAAATGTCACTGTGGTGGGTTGTATGGCACTGGAATGTCATTTTATGTGTTGTACCCCAGAAGAAGATTGACCGACAGAGAAGCTGACATATTGAATCACTCTTCTTCCACCAATGAGGCATGAAAGTGGAATCGAAACGTCAACTGCATCATGTGCTTTCCGAAACGTAAATTATTGTTTGGGGAATGTTTCGTTAGACGGGTAATGTTTGAGAATTTTTAAAATCTTGTTTCAACAGTTAAGATTAAAAATATCTTCCTAATTCGGCATACTTACTTCTTAATTTGGCATAATTACTTCTTAATTCGGCATAATTACTTCTTAATTCGGCATAGTTACTTCTTAATTCGGCATAATTACTTCCTAATTCGGCATAATTACTTCCTAATTCGGCATAATTACTTCTTAGTCTTGAATTAGAACACAATTAAAACAACGGGACATGTTGAGACAAAAATATTTATAAAACTGTATCATCTACGTAATAAACTAAAATATCCTTTATAGATATCGCTACTGTAGATGTAATTCTTTCCCTTCACGGCATGATTATAATACTCTACTACCAACTATAACATCAGAACGATGACAACTACTTTACACACACACACACAAAAAAAAACTCATTAAAAAATTTGCATTTGAAGAAATTTAAAAAACAGGAATTGACACCAAAATACAAACCCAAAAGACTCAAAAGTGATTTCGTTTCTTGACCATTATAGACTTGATAACTACTGAATCAGGAGAGCTGACATTTTTCACATGTTCTCTTTTATCCTGGTGTCAGAAGAAGGACCATTTTTCGCGCTGCGTAAGTAAGCCACGTGCATGGCCGGATAATTACTACAATGGTATAAATAAAGCACGCCCGCACAACACACGGCCCGCAGGCAGCATGCGACGCCACAGCAAAATCTTTGTGGCATACGAAGAAAAGAAATGTCCTTTATTATTATTTTTTTTTTCTTAAAAGCGTTCGCCCTTGTCCTATTTATCTTTCAGCCCGAACAAGTTGTTTCATAAAGTATTACGGCCCGCCTTACATTTTGAGTTGTTCAGGCCTGGTACGAAGTATAATCGCTGGGTGGATACCGGAGAATAAATCGTTTTGTGTTGTAGAGACCACGGCGCATTTCAGCATGTCTAACTATAGTGATATAGCCGTTTGTAATTAAGTGATCAAGCTGTTTGAGTTTGATCAGTATAAAACACGATGTATTTAAATAAGAATAAATTAACAACTCATTTTATAAAAAAAAACCTACCAAGTAACTTTTTTAGGAAAAGCATGATTTAAAAATAAAATAAAAAGATAAGAATCAATTTCCATTAAGTATATTCCGGTTAATAACTACCCAAAACTGTAAGTGGGTGAAAGGAAGAGGAGTGTTGGAAACATAAGGGGACATTAAAAATCTTAATCGCCTCGGTTGGAACTATCAGCCCCTAGGCAAGTTCAGTTGTGCGAAGAATAGAAGAACTTGGAGATACCATAGTGCTACAGATACGGGAGAAAGCTAGGAACTTGGTTTGGTATTCTCTGGCACGGGATGAGTCTACTGATCTCTCACATCTTCTCGCGTGTGTTTGTGGTATCAAAATTGACTTTAAAAAAAACCGGAAGTGTTGACATCCGTGTGCACCATGCATGGAACAACGTATGTATGTGAGCAAATATTTTCAAAAATAAAGTATGTGAAGTCAATACATGTGAGAGTGATAGATGAACAATCCTTTTGATTGGATAAAGAAATTCCAATCCAAACATTGATGATATCTTTAAAGCGAAAAGTCAGTTTCACAAATCTCACTAATCTTTTTTGCTGCTTTAGTATGTGAGATTCAAATATGTTGCTTTAGGTCTGATGTAACTATCTTATTGCTAACGTCGCCTTCTTTGCTAACATTTTAGTTCATAAAATAAATGTTAGTGCTTTCTTGCATCGCACGCCACTCACCCATGATAAAAATGTAATACCAAAAATAGCGTTTCGTCTTTTCTGCAAGAGCTTACGTTCTGGCTTGCAAGTATTGTACAGAATGATTATCCGGCCCGCCGTGAACATTTTTGGTGACCCTCCCCTAGAGGTATTAGCGTGTCAAAGAATACTTAGAATTAATTCAGAGTGCCAATGGAAGAGTACCAATTCATTCAGCGTGACAAAATAAGACTTCCTATTCATTCAGTGTGCTAAAGTAAGACCTCTAATTCATTCAAAGTGCCAAAGTAAGACCTCTAATTCATTCACTATGCCTAAAGAAAGACATCTAATTCATTTAGCCTGCCAAAAATAAAATATTTAATTCCTTTGACGTCTCTTTTCATCTTCTTTTAATTGCAAATACAAAAAGAAAGTGCATTGAAAATTATGGTTTCTAGTTGATTTATTTCAAGATCGTTGACAATTTATTAGGCCACCATTACACAGGAAAATGTCCTTAGAAACATGTCTGTTTTAATCTTTCAAATAACAACTTAATAAAACAATCACCAGGGATAGGGTGGTACCTCCTGGTGTCGGGGCAAAAGGTAGGGAGAGGAACATTGCCTCTGACAAAGTGTAGGGAGAGGAACATTGGCTCTGACAAAGTGTAGGGAGAGGAACATTGCCTCTGACAAAGTGTAGGGAGAGGAACATTGCCTCTGACAAAGTGTAGGGAGAGGAACATTGCCTCTGACAAAGTGTAGGGAGAGGAACATTGCCTCTGACAAAGTGTATGGAGAGGAACATCGCCTCTGACAAAGCGTAGGGAGGGGAACATTGCCTCTGACAAAGTGTAGGGATATGAACATTGCCTCTGACAATGTGTAGGGAGAGGAACATTGCCTCTGACAAAGTGTATGGAGAGGAACATTGCCACTGACATGTAAAGCTTTAGTTATTTTTTTAATAAAATTGTTAACACAACATTCTATTCATAGTTAATAGTTATTATTTTGATATCTCCACGACATAAATGCGAATATTAATAATAATAATAAGAATAAAAAGAATAAAAATGGTAGTTTATGAGTTAAGATGCTATAACGTTCTGTAAGTCTCTGCGTCCGAGTTAGATTTAAACAAGTTATTGGTACGAGTCTTCATTGCAAATATTCACTTGAAATTGAAAATGGGCGCCCCTCCACCCACCTACTTTGAACTTAGAGGATCTCTTTGCACAACAATTGATGATCCTATATAACTATTTGGAAAATTTGCAAATGGATATTAAGTAATAGCAGCATTTAAAAAAAAATTCTTCGTTTTTTAACAATGCAAACAATTTATGAGCTTTATTCATCTACTCCATGTATTCTGATTTGAAAGATCTTGATCACCAATGGTAAGGGGTTTAAACATAATATTACTTTTAAGTATTTAGCATTTATCATAGTTTATTTTTATCTTAAAAACCTTCACACATACACATACAAATTACCTAAACATTGAACGTAAGTGTCTAAATTTTATTCGTATCCAATTAAATTATATTGCAATAAGAAACAGAACACGACAATTTAGGCGCATCCTTCCCCATTGTCTCCAGCAGCAGACGTGACGCCGTCAGAGCAACACCCGTATCTCGTGCCCTTGCAACCACCGACAAAGCCAGCGGGTCTACAGTTGTCTTTATTGGGTCCCCCGGCAGAGGTCTTTCCGTCATCGCAGCAACCATATCGAGTGCCTCTGCAACCGCCTATCAGGTCTGAAAGAAGATTCAAATTTCAAAATTCAAAATTCAAAATTCAACATCGAGATCCGAACACGTTAATTCTTGTTGGTGAAGATTTATTGAAGAAATGATTCATGTTAAGTTCCCA